CATGCTATAAGTCACACCATCAGCCTGAAAACCCTCCTCCTTAGCCAGAATCCTCAGCTTGTTTGCATCAGAAGTCCGCCAGCTTCACAAAGTGCCTCGAAGATACAGTTACAAGATATGGTATCTGGTACAATCCCCTCCCCAACCATCCTTCCCATCAATCGGCACACATCATCCAGCTTCCCCGCCTTCATCAAGCAATCCAGAACTGTTATGCCAGCAGGGACACTTAAGCAGCATACCCCGTTCCTCTCCAATACCATCTCCACTATTTCCACTGCTTTGTCCACCCTTCCAACATGGCATAGGGATTCAACCAGATCCAAGCAATCAAACCCTTCCGGCACCACCGCATCCACCAAAAACTCTGCAAACACCTCTGATGCCTTCAAAGCGTCGCCTCCACCGCACAACCCACCTATCAAAATCTCCATGGAAGCAACCGACAGCCCGGCTCCAAGCTGCAGCATCTCGTGAGCAACCTTAAGGCCTTCCTTGTACCTTCCTTCTCTGAAGAACCCGCGCATAAGAGTATTGAAGCTCACACCAGTCGGCGCACAGCTCCGGCGCTGCATCTCCTCGAACCACCGCATGGCGGCATCGACGCCTTCGACACGGCAGGAGCTGTTGATGAGTATGTTGAAGGTGTAGGCATCAGGGGAGAGGCGGTGGACGTTGGTCATCTCGCCGTAGAAGCGGATGGCGTCGTCGTGGCGGTGGAGACGGGCCAGGGCGTGGAGGATGATGTTGTAAAACTCGGCGGGGAGGGGCGAGTCCGCGGCGCGGCGGAGGGACGCGAGGGCTTCGGACGCCGCGGGGATGTCGCCGGAGGAGGCGAAGGCGAGGATGGCCTTGCGGAAGGTGGGGAGGAGGTCGGGGCAGGCGAAGATGGAGTCGTCGGCGCAGGGGCAGGGCCGGGAGAGGACGAGCTGGAGGAGGCGCCGCAGCGAGGGGAGGCGGCGGGAGGCCGCGAGGCGCGCGGCGAGGAGGCTGGTGAGGCGGTGGTCGGGGCGGAAGGCCGAGGAGGCGTCGGCGGCCGCGAGGAGGAGGTGGAGGTCGAGCGGCGCGAGGCGCGGGTGGTGCCGCGCGCGGCGCAGGAGGCGGAGGAGCGCCGCGGGGGAGGAGGCGTGCGCGGAGGGGGGAGCCGGGAGGGGGCTCGGCGGCGAGAGGTGGGAGACGGCGAGCGGGAGGAGCGGCAGGGAGGGGTCGAGGGGGATGGAGGACTGGATTGCTTTTAAAAAAACTAGGGACCCGATTGCTTTTTTAGCCTGCTTATGTGTGGGCCAACTCTGTCAGAAACGCACTTAAAAGAGCCAAATCGGGCTCTTTTCAGACTTGGTAGTTTTTTGCCACGGTTTAGGAAAAAAGCGGTAGTTTTTCGCACAAAATCGTAAAGTGGTAGTTTTTCGTCACGGTTCCGTGAATTGTGGTAGTTTTTGGTTAAATACTCGTCTTATATGACTTTGCTAATTTTCGGTGTGTTTTCGCGTGTGTGAGTTGGTGTTAACTGTGTGCATCCTAGCTATACAAAGACCGAGTGTGTGCTCATCGTGTTGTGTGTCTTTTTGATGCTCCATTTTGAGCAAATAAAATCCACTTTTGTCGAAAATACCTCAAAAATCAACACTTTGTCAAAACTATCATGATACAATGTGATAGAATGGTATCTCGCTAGCCATTCTGAAGACCATGAATGCAGAGCACTTTTAAAGTTCAAGCAGCGACTAAACATTAAAATTCGGCATAGAAAACATCCAGTCATGCTCCATCTACGATTAATTAGACCAAATGCATGTTAAACTAAGAATGTCAATAGCGCTCTTTTTGTTGGTGCTTGAATGAGAAGGTGATGACTCAACAATAAAAAAAAAGAAGGGCTCTTCATAGAGGAAAGCATGGATTTGCTTATGTACTAGAGCTCATTGTTTAAAACAAAGAAGATTTTATTTTCGGAGGTGTACTTTGACTGTTTGACAACCGAGAATCATGCGAGAGTGGTTTCCATGATTAACACTTCCTCTCCACCATTGTCTTTCCAAAAACTATGGCTAACCTAATTCACGGGTGCCTGTCAATATTCCTCGGAGAGTAGTACTTTTTATTTGTTTAATTAATTCAGGACTAGGCATCTCATTTACTAGCTTCTTTTGCAATATTAAAACAAATAGATGACATACTTGTCAGAGAGGAACACACCATTTATCATAGAAGATGACGCTCTCTCCCACCGCTCCATGAGCTTTACGGGCACACAAAATAGGTATTCGTTTGAAGATTTAGAGATGACACGTGCGAAACAGGTATTTATAGCATTACTTTGTTTTAGGATTTGGATGCACAAACAGTATTTCTGCTTAGTACATGCAAAAGCTAGCAATAGACTCGAAAGCGACTAACTAGAAAGACACAACAGTCATAATCATGCATTCTGAATAACCAACATTGAATGGTAGCATGGTGAGGATATAAACATGTTGAACATAAATATCATAGAAGCAAGATTGGATTTGAATCAATTACATGCGTGAACATGTATCAAGTCAACCAACTTAAATTCTTCAGAGGAGGATACCATCCTAACATATTGTGCATCATAATCAATTGAATACGTGTTGACATCAAAGATAACATAATATCCACTCCTAACTAATTAATTATTCCATAAGAAAACATGAACTCTAATCATTCACACACATCACCCCCCCCCCCACGCCGCTCCCGCGAGCAGACGTGGGAACCCTAGCCCACCGGCTCCTCCCCGTCCCCTCCGCCCCCTCCCTCGCTGCCGCCTAGAGGTGCCGCCGGGCAAGGCCTGGCAGGTGTAGGCGACAACGGGGCCACTTCTTACCCTCTGCATGGATCCTCGGCTGGTGCTGGTCGGCTGGCAACCAGAGGCGCCAGGCTATGGCGGGGCCCGACGACGCGGCTTCAGGTGCGCTCGGTGGCGGCGGTGGTGGCTCAATGCCCCCTTGGCGCCTAGAGGTGGCGCGGTGTTTGCGGGTGCTCTGCTTCGATGGATGTGAGGTGGCCAAATCTGGCGTGGGGGCTGGTGGCCGCGGTGTGTGCGCGTTGCGACCTGGTCAGCGGCGGGCGACACGGGAAGGCGTCTTCGAGGCTCCTCAGTTGCTGGTGGTGGTAGCTCCGGCTCTCCACTCGGCGGGTGGTGTTGCGGTTCATGGTCCGGCGGTGGTCCGAGACAGCGACCATGGCGGGGAGACACATGAGGTGTCTGTGGGGGGCTGGTCAGGAGGGATGGGGGGCTAGTAGTGGCCCTCCGTCGCCGGCAGGGGTGTCCCCGTGGATTCGTTCCGCTCCTCTCCTCCCCCTCTCCCAGCCTAGTGTTGCGTGGTCTCTGGTATGACGTTCTTCGGGCCTGGACGGTCACTGGCGGCTCCGTTGGTGGTTGGGGTTCGGTAAGATCAAAGTCGGTGCCTTGCTTGGTCGTGGAGTTGTAGGATGGTAGGGCGGCGGCCCGAACTATGGGAGGCGTGGCGTTTGTGGGAGGAGCGTGCGACTCATGTGCGGGGCGGGCAATCATGGTTAAGCGGGTGGCGTGGTTACGGGTGGTCGACGGTGCTAGGGCTACAAACGAGTCCAGTTCGAGGGAGTTGGATTATGCTTAGCTCAACGTATACTAAAATTTGAGCGAGCTCAAACCAAGCGAAGCTCGAGGTTGAGTTGTAGAAAGTGGCTCGTGCCCAGCTTGTAATGATATCGGCTCGATCTCGAGCTATTTTCGAGCTAAATAAAACAATACTTTAATAATGCAACACAAAATTTCAAAAGGTAGACCACAACATAACATAAGATACCATTACATATTTCAAATTGTTATCTCTCAACTGAAGACTAGTACTTAATAGTAAGAGATCATGGATGTAGCAAAAGAAAAGCAAAGGTGCATTTGCTCTCGAACTTGGGCTAAAATAACATGATATTTAACACATGTTTGACCACATATCACAATGGGGATAAATTTTCTCTGCAATTAATTAAGCTTCAATATTTGGTAGTAGGTAAAACGAAGAAAAATCATACACAACATACATCGTATTTTTTCACTATATAAGTATATATATGGTAAAAATTGCCTCATTTCTTTTTATAGATCAAAATTATTTAATATAATTATATGATATCGGGCTATTGAGCTAAAATTGAGCGAGCCAGTATTGGCTCAAGATCAGCTCGTTTCTTAGTCGAGCTACATAAAGTGTTCATACTCTGCTCATTTCTTCTCAAATCGAGACAAAATACGAGTCGATCTCGAATAGCTCACGAGCCTCGAGCTTTTCTTATAGCCCTAGCCGCCAGCACCCCGACTCTTCTGCTCCCTTTGCCACCATCACCTCATGCCACCGGGCAAAGCCAGCAAACGGCCAGCGGCAGCAGGATTTGTTGGGTAGAGTCATGCTTGGTTGGTTGCCCATGCCAAATACCCATTGATAGTCCCTGCAAAAAAAAATACCCATTGATAGGTTATATCTTGCCGGCCTCTACAGAAATTGTCAAAGTTAAGTTTTGATATTGTCATATTGGCAAATATCATGTTCGATAGCAAATTTCCGTGGCTCTTTTGTTAGCCAACCGTGGCTTGGCACGTTACTAAAAGCTATTGCATCCCTAAAAAAAAAAGCTCTTGCATCTCGCAACAAAAGAGGAACCTGTAGCATTCCCTGAAAAAAAAAGATGGAGGAAGCTGTAGCTTGTAGCGACCCAAAGGTCCCAAACGCGAGAGATAAGGACGAAGAGGACGCGACGAGAACGAGACCCGAATGACCCGGCCAGGTCACGGGTGGGGAGGACTCCGACCGCGGCATATAAAGTCTCTCGCCGCCTCCACCCACGCAGCGTCGCGCCCGTTCCGATTTCCTCCGCGACGACGCGCCACCCCGCCCACCCCCCACCCACCGCGCGCACCACCCCCCAAACCCCCGCAAAACCCTAGCCAGCTCCCATGGCTGCGGACGACGGCGACGCCACCACCGTCGTCGCGCCAATGCCGTGCCCGGAGGAGGAGCGCGAGCAGCCTTCCCATGCCGCGGACTCCCCCGTCGACCCAATGACGGCGCCGCCGCCGCCGCCGCTGCTGGAGGAGGAGCAGCAGCAGCAGCAGCCTCCCCATGCCGCGGATGCCCGAGTCGACCCGATGACGCCGCCGCCGCTGGAGGAGGAGGAGGAGGAGCAGCAGCAGCCGGGGGAGCGGACTACCACCGCCGCGGACGCGGTCGTCGCTCCAATGCCGCCGCCGCCGCCGCTGTCACAGCCGGAGGAGAAGCAGGAGGAGCAGCCGGTGCCCGCCGCGGCGCTGCCCCAGCCGCTCGAATCGGTAGCCGCCTTGCTGTGTGTTTAGTCTAGTCCATGCTTGCCTCGCGCCCGATCTCCTTCTATTTTGTCTGTTTAGTCCTGTTCTATCCCTCGATCATCGGGCAGTTCCGATCGTGTTTAATTACCTGCGGCGGGCTTAAGCGGGCGCTAATTAATCCGCTGGAATATCTTGTCCTCCTATTTTGCTTCCCTGCGCTCGCCGCTTTAGTTCCACCCTAGATATTTTACCCGTGGCCTCCGCGCGCCTGATCGGGATGGCGTCGCGGCAATCTACATAGATTTCGAGTTCCTCACGCGTGTTTGCTTCGTTAGCTGTGCCTGTGCGCCCCTTTGATTACCCCTAGATAGGTATAGCTACTTTTGCGATTCCAGGGTTTTAATTTCCCCAAATTAATTTCGACGGCTACCCCTTGATTTGGCACTAGACTAGATGGTAGCTTGATTTCAAGTGTCCATCTTCGTTGTGGTTTGGTGCTTATTTGATTGGTCCAGATTTGAATTTGGTGGTTAGTTTGGTTTGCTGCTCCGCAACTCTTGCAATGCTGCGTATTTCCAACATTAACATCACTAATCTGGTGCCTGGGTTCTGGATGATCGGTTATTGCAGGGTCCGGCTTCAACCGAGGAGGGACACAAGGAGACATCAGAAGATAAAAATCTCTTCAAGGTTCCAGGTCCAGCCGATGAGGGACACGAGGAGACATCAAAGGACAAAATTCCCTTCAAGGTTCCAGGTCCAGCCGATGATGGACACGAGGAGACATCAAAGGACAAAAATCCCTTAAAGGTTCCAGGTCTGGCAGATGAGGATGACTGGGAGACCTGTCAAGACCGGAAGCTCTTGCGGCTTCTGGGTCGAGCAGATGAGAGATACCACAAGGGGATCGGGCAAGGCCGACGTCCTGAGGATGATGTATGCATTTCATAATTGATGCATTTGCTAATTTCTGTCAATTCTTGTTTGAAGCTGTCATTTTGTTTGCTACTGGTACTGTGCAGTTATCACTAAATGCCACTTTGGTTTACCAATTTTATCTAGTGTGGCATGCACTCTCCCTCTATCTAACAGAAACTGGAAGCTCATGCACTCCAATATTTACATAGTAGCTAACATTTCAGTTCTGTTTGTTCTCCAGGATTTGGAGGATTCTTGTGGTTGTTCCCACTATAGGAGGTCGCGCTTTTGTTACCGTCATGAACAAAGAGATCCTAGATATTACGATCATGAACTTCATTGTGGCGGATTTCGTCGGAACTGTTATCCGAATTGGCATCATAGTGCACATCTTGGAAATGGTTATCCCGATTGGAATGGTTACCCAGGTCATCCACATCGTGGCTACGGCTACCCAGTTGGACGATTTGATCAAGATTGTATGGATCTGTACAATCCGCGTCTGATGGTAGGCACAACCTATTGCTTCTTTTGTATATACTATTGACTGTGTACTAATATTCCTGATAATGACAAGATATTGAAGTAATTCATTTTATGCTATCATCCAAACATTCATGACATTTCATTGTTTGCACTTGTGATATTTTGATAATATCTTAGTCTGTTTGACTTGGACATCTTCCACTTTTGTCTTCTGCCCTAGGATTCTTGGGATGACAAGCTTGTAGATACTCAATGCTGTTCTTGGTACAAACTGACTCGTGGAAAGAATGATTTCCCTGTGGTAAGCTAGACATGTGCAACATCATGCTTGCGATGCTTCATTTCCTCTCAGATCAAGTAAATGTGTTTGTTTTACTGTTTGCATTGCTTTCATAGGCTGCATCGCTAAGTAATCCTGAGAAGTGGATATGCTTCCTTAATTGTATTCTCCAGTGTGTAGTTCACACAGTTCCTCTGGTGTCGAAGCTTCTGAAAGATCGTCACCTAGGTCCATGTCCTAGTAAGTCATCTAGTTCAATCTACTGTCATTCTTCTAGTTTACCTACTGTCGAGCATCTCTTCATATCAACCATTGTGTTTTCAATTGGGTTTTTTGATGATTTTTCTGTAGCTGGTTCTGACGAATTCTGCTGTTACTGCTCCCTACGACACCATGCTTCTGAAGTTATCAGGCTCTCAGGAGATGTTCTCTACCCCAGAAAGTTTGTCAAACGCCTCAAGTGTATGTTTGTTCAACCGAGCCTTTAAAATTCCTTCCCATATACTCATAAACTGCTTAAATCAGTGGTTCCTTTGCCTATCGTGTTGGTCGTGTGTAGCTGAGTGTTAGTCTGTTTAACTGAACTTTCAATTTTCTTCTGTGTATACTTCGTTGGCCGCTTATATTATCAGGGAGATTCAAGTCTTGTTTAGCTATATGTCCATTTAACCCACTTCAGTTATTATATTCATATTATTATTACATACTTCAGTCATCCCTGTGATTATGTACTGAACTTAGTTTTCCATAAAATGGTTTGCAGCAATATTTCGAGATTTCGAGCAGGGACAACACCAAGATGCACATGAATTCCTCCGCTGCTTGCTTGATAAATTAGATGAGGTAACAGTCGCTCCCAGGTCTGAATCTGAGGAACCATCTTCTATTGTCAAAGAATTTTTTGGGGGCCAACTGAAAAGCCAGGTGTGTGTCTGTTGATCCTCACTACCAGTTACATCAGTATCGTCCTGACTTGGTGTATGATTGATAATTCACTCAAATGTTTTTGATTTGCTCAGTTGAATTGTCCAAAGTGCAATCATTGCTCGGACAGATTGGAGTCTTTCCTCGACCTTAACCTGGAGGTTAACCAAATGGACACTATCATGGATTCACTATCATCTTATACCAAAATTGAGGTTGTGGAAGATTTCATTTGTGATGGATGCAAATCTCGTGTGAACATGGAAAAGCACCTCAAGGTGGAGCAGGCTCCAGAAGTTCTTGTAATCCAGCTCAAGCGGTTTCAAAATTTGGGGAGTGATATATCTAAGATTCATGACATGGTGAAGTATCAGTTAGAGCTGGATTTAAACCCCTTCATGAGCTCCCCTGATGACGTGCGTCCACTTTCTTCTAATTTGATCATATTTCCCAACCACCCAAGTATATATGGCTGATGCACATTGTTGTTGCAGAAACCTCAATGCTATGATTTGTATGGAGTTGTAGAACACTGGGGTAACACAGCCAAGGGTCACTACGTTTGTTATATCCGCTCATCAGAAACTGATTGGTTTCTCTTTGACGATGATAAGGTAATCTATCTACTGCTTGTATATTTTTTTTTAACCTTTTGCCAAGTTTACCTGGCTCTAACCTTCCATGGTGCAGATTGTGAAAATGACTGAGGACAGACTTTTGGAGAAAAAAGCATATGTTCTGTTCTATGTCAAGAAAGGTTCTTCCCCGTGGTTCTCTACGTTACTTGAGAAGAAGGAAATGTTGCTGTCGGATTATTTTGAAGAATTGGCGGGCAAAGGATTTGATGAGGATGGTGCTCCCAAAGCGGGCAGCTACAGTAGCAGTGGTAGTGACAGTGACAATGACAATGTTGAACAAGATGTCACGGAGCATTTTTTTGGTGGACCAGCAGAGAAAAATGAAGCTGGCCCCAGTTCGGCGGGCTTGTCACAAGGAGTCCAAGGAATTGAAAACGGCAGTACCCTTTGCAGTGTACCTGACAAAAACGAAGTGGGTTGCAGCCTAGGTGTAGTACCATCTGGAGGAACACAGAAACCCACCTCCCTTACCCTATCAAGTGTGGAAAATGGAGACGCTAGTGGGTTGCCGTTGCTATTGGAGAACAAAGAGAAGTCCAGCCATGGCACCAGGGAAGCGAACCATAATGGGCCATCATCAGAGGTGCTTGATGCAGACTCCCATATAGGGTCATCACAAGAGAATGGGAGAAGCTGCAACCTACTCCAGTCTTCATCACATAAACATGAAGACTACTGTCCTGAAAACTTGACATTGCACGGTAAGTGTGTTCTTTCTCTATTAAAAGAAAACAACCTGAAATTTACTCACATAAGTTTCCCACAATGGTCTCTCTGAGCCTGCTCCTTCTATATCAATGAAATGCGAAGAAGAAACAGCACAGTAATAGTCCCTGTGTTTGTACGTTGTGCTGGTGGCTGGTGTTTTATGAGGCTTGTCTCTTTTTGTAGAAGAAGAAGAAGAAGAAGAAGATGGGATGGCAGGCTCTTGTGATTCTCCTGCTGGATCGCTGCACGCACGTGGGAGTGCTGGCACTTCAAGGCTCGGAACAGCAGGCTCCAACTCCGACCGCACTACTAATGGCGAGTGCAATACTAAGTTCATTTAGATTCAGATACAAAATTGGCATGGTTTCATGCCAGCCCTTTTCGATTTTCTCTGAGACACCTTTTAGGGATGGGGGCTGTTTAACTGGCTTCTGTTTTTGTCACGCACTTGTGAGCTCATGTGAGCAACGGAAACATCAGATATAAACGATAGTCATTCAATCCCCTTTTATATATTAACTGGAAATTCGCTCTTGTTTTAAAGTTTTTTACATTAGAATTTTGAAAGGAAAAGGTTGATGAAACGTGTACTGTCTTAACTTTTTTTTCCCCTTCGTGACAGCTTGATATTCTGTGTGCGTCTTTATTTTGTTATACAATTGTAATCTATGTTAGTTTACTCTCAATCAGTTGTGTCCCGCTTGCAGATGTCGGAGTCGAGACCAGAGCAGGGAAGCGGGTGAATACCCAGGCTGCAGCAGCTGCAATGACGGCGAAGAAGCGGAAGACGAATGGCAGCGTAAAGAACTATCTACAGAAGACGAGGGTACCAAAAGGGAGGGCCAGGAGAGGCAGGAATAAGCGGAGGTAGAAGGGGACATTTATATAAACTGCTCAAGTGCGCGTAGCTAATTACCGTTAGCACAAGGGTTTCACAGTGCAGAAAGTAGACCAGTGACACTGCAATTTTTCAACACTTGTAACAGATGGCCACCTGAGCTTTGCTGAACTATACTCCAGTTTCCCCCCTGTTGCATGGTTTGGATGTATGCATCAACTGGCTGGTGACTTCCAGCTTTTCATAGGGCAAGGACACACCTGTACTCATAACCATATATGGTATGAAATGGTCATTACAAAGCAAAGGCATTTCTTTGGTAGCACAACGCCCATCTGGTTCCCACGAAACTCCAAATGCTATTACGACTTTAGCCAGAAAGCATTTGTGATAAAATCCTCATTCTTTCTCTACCGAGTTTAAGTTTTAAGATTCCTATGGACTCATATACAGAGCCACCACCACAAATCTGTTGTCATGCAGTAACAATCAGGAGAGGCGGACCATCGAAGACCTGTGATATGTAAATTCAGCTCAGAGGATCCGATCAAGATCAGATATGATGTTGGACGCCATAGATGTCAGCTTCTTCCCAGTCTGCCCAGCCATGCTCTTGAGAGAGGTCAAGTCCTGAGTGGCCTGCACCAGTCAACAGAGCATTAACACAAGTCCATCAAGGAAAACAGCCATGCTAGTATGCTGATGCCTCTCCAGTGTTACCTGGAAGGAGATTCTGTTGATCAAATCCGAAGCACTCAGATCCGCATTAGAATTGTTCGCTTGTTGGCCAAACAGATCAGCACTTGAAATGGCAGAGGACCCCTACAGCAACGTATTACACATAGTACCAATCAATCTGGAGCTATCAAAAATGGTAAAGTAGCAAAGCCGTGCAGTACTGAAAACAGATTATTCACTTGAGGACTGTGATGGAAAGTTGGAAGGAAATCAACGTAAGAAAAAAACTGTGATGGAAATGCATACAAACTACTATACTTATAAAAATCAAAATTATAAGTAGGAGTATAAAAAGGTCAAAAGAACATCCTGGGATTAAAAAACCAAGGGCGTATAGGCCAGATCCATGGCATTGGGGTTTGTTCTAAACAAAGATCAGGAATAAGTTTATTATCATCCCAGATTCTCAGAAAAGACGCAGTGATATACTTACAGAGAATTTTTGGAGGGAGATTTGGCCCTCTTTTTCTAAATTGGCTTGATCACCGAAAAACTGAGAAGATGAAATAGACTTTGCATTTGAGAACTTCTGTCTTGCTTCACTACTTTCCTCAACCTGGAGATCATTATTACAATCGATTATTCACAGGCCGCTTGAAAGCTGGACCTCAAGACAAGAACATGTAAAACAAGTCTAAACTTCACTATCTGTAAACAATTTTCCCATTTCCAGAGGGAACACACTCAAATGCTTCATTATGCACAGATGGAATAAAGAAACCATCACGATCAGTAAGAATTTTTAGACAAGCCATTCAGAACTAAAGCACAATTACAGCAGAACCAAAATTGTAGCAAGGGATAAGTCAGACAAGTCATTCAGTTTCAAAGCTGCAAATTTTCTCAAAATGATGAAACACAGTGAATATTCTGCCACCTCAACATGCATTTTTAGCCTTGTAATGCTGTTAACTCATTATCAGACATCAACGTGAACCAAGTCAATTGTGCTTCTGGAAAGCGTGCTAGCTAATTCAAAGCATACCGCCACATAGAACTGGTTTACCTAAGAGTAGAACTGAACTAGAGACACATTATATATGTATCAAAAGCAATGCTTCCCCAAAGAGGCCAAAGTTGGTTTAATGGTAAATCTTCCCCTTTGTCCCCTGAATTGACAGAGGCTACCAATTTATGCAAAATTAAGACAGTAAATGACCAATATTACATAACTGACTTGTCATATACTCCCTCTGTACCGAAATACATGTCGCTGGAGCAGCTGAACTTCAGCTGCTCCAGCGACATGTATTTCGGTACAGAGGGAGTACATGATTCATCATCATATAAATGATACAACTACTGGATAACTAAACATTACCTGCATTTTGGATGCACCAGAAGTAGATTTCTTGTGATATCCACTGTCCATCCCATATTCACCGAAAAAGTTTGAAGACTTTGGGGGCGCAACATGCCCAAATGCCTGGTTTTCCGCAGAGCTGCTCCCAGCAGAAGGTACATTTTCCACATATTCAAATCGGGAAGTATGAGATTTGCTCCTAGCTGTAGTGCTTTCAGCCACCGATGGCAGGGCAGGAGCTGGCTCTTCAGGTTTCTGCTCATAGAGGCTTTCACTTGGCTAAAGCAAATGACAAAAGTTATTAGTACAGAATTTCACAAAACTAAACGAAACCAAATAAATACATTTGGCAACTGGCAAGTTCAGTGGAAATCTACAAAATTGAGTGTACCAGCACGAAGCTACTCTTCTATTTCTTATTCCTAACACAAACTGGGAAATCTACTGGCTCATCATTGTATGAAAAGTACAAGTTCTGCTGTCTCCCCAGTTTAGTTAAGTGTAAGCTGCAGACTGTGTACCTTTGTCGTAAGCTTGCGCGCACCAAGTCCACCAGTCTTACTTCCAGGCTTCTTTCCACCGATTGGCTTCTTGAATGAATGGGTAGGAGCTTTAGGTGAACGAATAATTTCAGACTCAGGCTCATTCACAACTTCTTTCGGCACCTCTACCAGTTTGAAATCAGGAAATGCAGCTGCTTGGCTTGAAGTCTGAGAAGCTGCGACTGGGGAGGGCGGCCCACTATTATTGCCATCTTCTGTCGAACTTTTAGAAACCTCTTTGAGGAGCAACTGTCTGTATAAGTCAGCAGCTCTTGAAGTGTACTTTGCCTCGATCTTTCCACCATCAGTCCAACCATGCTGCTTAAAGAAAGCTTGTGCACGGTTGTTTCCCCCATAAACCATCATTTTCAACTGTTCTGGGGTCCATGAATCCAAATTTGTTGACCTGCAGATTATTGCCAAAATTTAGTGACAAATTTTATACAATGTCACCAGTAATAAATCCAGTCAATGTGCTTTCAGGAAGTACTGAAGTTCAAGAAATGCAGTAAATTTCCATAGTGACAATATGCTAGGTGTTAGGCAAAGAAGGAAATAACTTGTTGTATTAAACATGCATAGCAAGACCTATCTGATAAACAATCCATTCACACAGGCTAAACCGACTTGGACAGAGCATACAACAACTTCAGAAGAGTCATGTTGCATCAAAAAAGGTGATTTACAAAGTTCAGTATGCAGAAAGAAAAACACACTACCATGTTTCTTACAGGTTATGCTGAAGCTTTTGAACAATTGGTAATGGCATTCAACATTATGCATCTCCACTCACACAATCTATGCCAGAATAAACTGCAATCCCCCCATGTAAAAAATGTCCAGCGTCAAAATTAGAGCCGGCCTCATCCACATTCATCAGTAAGCCTGCACCTTCTCTCACAAAGTTCGGTAGTGCTACTTCACATGGCATGACAGGCAAGAAGAAATACACAATGGACGAATCTTCAAACCCTAACCAGGCGGCCCAAAATCGTATTAAAAAAATCCAGAATTTACACGTGCATGGCTGATTATTTATTCTGGAAGCAGGGCGCATCACAAAGGCAAGCGTAGTGAGGAAAGGAGGTCGGGAAATTACACCTGACGAAGGAGACGTGGACGCCGAGGCTGCGGTGGACGGCGGAGCAGTCGATGCAGAGGAAGACGCCGTAGGTAACGGAGGCCCAGGTGGGGTTCTTGGCGTTGCAGTCGAAGCACATCTGCAGGCACACACACACACAGACACATAAGGAGGAAGGGGCACAGGAGAGGGATGAAACGAGGCGGAGCCGGCGGCCGGAGGAGGGAGGGAAACAAAGCCCTTCCTTGGCAATCACATCACATCGGAGCAAACGGAGGCGGGAACCGATCACGCACGCACGCACGCACGTTACCTTATTGTCGGATTTGGCGCGGAGCTTGCGGAAGACGGAGCTCCTGTCGGCGGCGCCGGCGTCGGTCGCCATCGCGGCGAGCCACCTACCCGATCGGGCGCGAGCCCTCGCTTCCTCCGAATTGAGGAGGAGGAGGAGAGATGGGGATGGGAGGAGGAAGTAAGAGAGAGGAGGAGACGCCACGCACACGCACACGCACACGCGCCCCGACCGAGGCGAGGCGAGGAAATGGTGCTGTGCCTTTCTGCTTCGCACTCCACCTCCACGTGTGCCCTTCATCTGGGCCGCGTCGCTCTACGGGAGCTCAGCCCATTAAGAAAATTTTGGCCCGCAATAATTAAGTAGCGGGATAGTGAGCCCAGAGTGGCCGCCGCCCGGCCCGTGCTGCTTCAGGCAGGATTCAGAGCCCACCGCTCATTTCGGCAGCGCACTCGACTCCACGGCCACGGGCGGCGACAAGGCCTACGCCGACGAGTACCTGTCATGCCCGCATCTAGATCGAGCTAAGGAAATTGGGGATCAGGAC